TGGGGAACTGTACTGTAGGACGCTAGGGAACTGTACAGTAGGCTGGTGGGGAACTGTACTGTAGGACGGTAAGGAACTGTACAGTAGGCTAGTGGAGAACTGTACTGTAGGGCGGCAGGGAACTGCACAGTAGGACGGTAGGGAACCGTACTGTAAAAATATTTTGAAAAATATTCTAGGTGCCAGAAATGGCATGCAGATTCGATTTGAGTGCCGTGACAGGATTCACTTATCCTGATTAGAATTCAAAACATGTTCAGTTCTTAAGTCATATGACTCTATACTCATGACTGACTGGTTGTGCATCTTAGCTTGACCAGATTATTTATCGGGGTTTTTTTTCCGTCACTTGTATTGCTCTCCTTGAACGTCAGTCTGAAACGCATATATAATACTGAATACTGTTCAACTGACCTACGCACTCAGTGTACCATTTATTTTACAGTGCATTGCTCCTCAATGCAATATGAAAGTTTGTTTTCAAGGAAACAGGTTTGATATCTGATTAATAGTAAAAAAAAACATACATAAATTTTAATTACTGTAAGATAATGTCATGTGTATGCTGCCTACTCGTTTTTGAACAAAACCTGAAACATTTTAGATGCAGAAAAGAGTGGTTGGGAAAATAGTACCACCATTATACTACATCATAATATGTCTGTGTCTGGTCAGACAGAAAGAATCCTTTTAAGACGTATTGATGGGTTCCTATGGTACAGAAGCAGAAGACACGATCAGAGAGTCCAATATGATGATTTCGGTTGAGTTAGTAGGATATCACTTGGGATCGGAGACTTCGCCGAGGAGTGTAGAGAGAGATAAGGTTAGTAGGATATCACTGGGGACTTCGCCGAGGAGTGTAGAGAGAGATGAGGTTAGTAGGATATCACTGGGGACTTCGCCGAGGAGTGTAGAGAGAGATGAGGTTAGTAGGATATCCCTGGGGACTTCGCCGAGGAGTGTAGAGAGAGATAAGGTTAGTAGGATATCACTGGGGACTTCGCCGAGGAGTGTAGAGCGAGAGATAAGGTCCCTGAGATGAGAGGGAAAGTTATAACTGTTCATTCAGTCATGGGTGAGGATGGGAATCTTGAAGTTGATTCTATCAGATGGTGATGTGATGCATATTATGTGAGCTTGAGAAGATGATCATGATGGTCACTCTCGGTCGTACAGTTCTAGGACTGTCAGACTACAGGCCACTGTGGTTGACACGTCTCGTTAGTCCAATGATGCTCTGAATAGTCGATGATGTCTCTGAGTAGACCATGTAATCAGACTTGCTATTCCGGGTATACGGCTGAAACAATGCCGATCCGACGTAATACTCATCTCAACTCTGAATAGTAAAGCGGACAGTCTGGCTATTCAAAGCGTTCCAAAGGCTTGTTCCCGCCCTGCTGCTGTTCATATTGACATTTCGATGTGCGTACCACAAAGAATTTCAATCGATTGAGCTTCTGCATAACATGCATGTGATATTCAACAAAATATAATGATTGTTCATGACACCCTACGAACACATCTCTTTTCACAACACAATTTGCAAACTATTTGAGCTGTTGTGGGGAAAATAATCCCAAAGCACCTGGTGTGTACTTTCTTTTGTACGTCGGTTTAGTAACACTGGGATTGAAACCGTGACTGTTCGGCTAAGATATGCAAACACCCACTGCCCCTACTTGTGAATGAAAGCTGCATCGCACTCATCCACCTAAAAAGAATCTCAGAATGTCTGCGTCGCTCATGGGTATTTTATTCTTAATCACTGAGTCTATCATTATATGGGAATATAACTGGCCTGCAAGATGTCTACAGAGTCAGTGACGACAGTTTGTCTCTGTAATTTATACTCTCAAGTAACAACAACCTGGTTTGGACCATAATATACGCCCTTGTGATAGCCCCGAGTACATGTAATGTGTTTGCCCTTTTGTTCCCGCACGCTGTACGTTGTGCCTGGAGCGTATTTGTTAGCTGATTCATGCTGTGTCTCCCGACATAGGTTTGACAAATGTCATTGCCAGAAACCATTTTCTTGGATTTGAACTTTTGTTTATTGTGGTTGGAGACACTCTTTGAATATCTTTAAAAACCAATGAAACACTGGTCGCCATGTGAAAGAAAAGCATTTGTAAAATGTATGATAACAATTATTACTCTGAATGGAGTATTAGTCAAAGATATAAAAAAAACTGCATATAAAGTAAATGGTATTTAAGTCCGGAGTTAGCAGTATTGTAGATATATGGAAGCGGGTGTTCAGGACAAGTAAGATGACGGACACCAAGCATGGACAGCTCTTAATGCTGTCTACCAAGTTTCACGACCCTATCCATTTTTGCAAGGATCTCCCTGAATGAAGCACAAACATATGATGGTTAATGAATGTATTGTGTGCTGTTTACTTTATCAACATTACCAGCTGACACGACGGAACAGTAATTAAATAAATTATTTATCCAGAGCGAGTTTAATCATCCATCCATGCCGAAAAACCCTGTGTTAGGAAATCTGTTTGAACTGGATGTTTGAAGAGTGTTCTAGTTTCATGATGAACCACAGCTCAATGCTTGTGGAAAGCTCAAAAGGACACAATCTCATTAAAGATACATTTTCTTTTAGATATCTCCTTTAATGATACGTCCATAGGGTGTCGCGTCTTGTGAACTTTCTAATCAACTTGGAGGCTTCTTAATTTTCTTGTAGCAACGAGCAAAGAGGTAAGACACGAGTATGTATTTCTGAAAGACCGCTATTATATAGGAACGATGCCAGCGATCTTGGTGTGCATTTAATTGTTGTACGACCAGGATCTTTAATTTCTACAATTACAATTTTGTACAATAACAAAAAATATCATTATAGAAAACAAATTTTAACAGAATTTTTGTTTCTTTTATGACATGTTCAGTTTGATGAAGACCATTAGAATTGTTTCAGTTCTCTATGTATTTTAATGGAATCAACCAGTAGGAATTATAACTTGGCGCCGTGTCCGTCTGAACAAAACTGGAGCAATTGTGTTAAGTGATCATCTCTACGTTTAGATCACGCTGAAGAATAATAAATTCCATGATATTAAGTGTTGTTTGATCGGCATTCTAGAAGCTGGTGAGTCAAAAATGAAACATACAGCTTGATAACGATGTACGAATCTACATCGCAATGTCGATAATGCAATAGAGAATAAGTTGTCATCCAGTTGTATGTTTAATTTTTATATTAAGTGTGGTAAACATATTGACAGCCCATCATACTTGTGTAGTGTTCGTTGAAGATTGTGTCTATGTGCTACTGTTAATGTACAAATTGTTTAGTTAATTTCAATAGTTCGTCGTTTTCAATGCACTATTTTGACATATAGAGGATTACGACCTGGAGCAACAATATGACTAATGTCAGATGACGGTTCCTGCAGCTGAGCGTGTGATTTAGTCACCATAGTGAATGAATGTTCTGTTGTCAAATGTATCCTAAGGATAAGGTAATTGCTGTTTAGTACAAACCGTCACGTACTCAAATTCAATTCTTAGCCGGTTTGTTTCAGTTCCCAAAATATTATCCTATCACATATCCAGTATGTTATAATTAATAATGGTAAATGTTAGTATCTGCCAGTTGTTCCCCTCTAGTTTGATCAAACTGGAGAGACACAGCAGTTGGTTAGACATCTTTTCCCCAGACCTATTCCTGTCACGGCGTGTCAGCCTCATGTGGTGAGAATGTTAATGACATCACACAGTTACAGGATGTAGTTAAAGTCACTACTACTATTAAATAATCCACAGTACTCATCACGAGTGTTTAAATCCCAATCGATCAGCTGTGGTACTATTTATACAAGCACGACTACTCACATGTTATCACGTATACAATATTGAGACGTTAACTATACATGAATTACGTCGTGGTAATATTATAGAAATATAGGTTGAATGAAGTTAATTGCATAATTGTGTGATTGGTGTCCAAGCACGGTATATATGGTCACTGAGACAGTTACATGTCAACCAAGGGGAAGCACTGCTGAACCGATGACGCTGAGAGTGATTGATGAATCTCAATTGACTGTACATGTCCGACTCGTGTTTCCTCGGTGTGCAGTTATGCGTCGCTTGGGCACGCTTGAACCCTATGATGGTTGGTTCGAATGGAGCTTCGGCCGGAATTATGTTTCTGGGTTTGTCACGACCCATACGTATGCCCGTTGTAGAGTAAAGCTCATACCTGTTTTGAGCTTTCCTCCAACAAGAAGCTGACAAGTCATCATAACTGGAATAGTGTTCACTCTCTCACTTTATATATTTATTCTGGGTCCTATGTTGACCACCCTGGTTAGCGATATCAAGAAGCATTTAAAATATCCCGCTTGTTATTTTGACCAAGAGACTGAGGCTTTCATTTAATTGTTTTAAAAAAGGTAATTGCCGCGTGTGTTGTCTACATGATTTTTATACTGAATAGCAGTAGCATGGGCCCCTGAAACGTCGTTAGACAACGAACTGACACATAAGAAAAAGGATGTTATACATGCTTAGCCACATAGTAATTTAGATACTGTTATAACCAGACGTTGGTGAAACTTACAGAAAACGAATCAAGATTTAGATATATACATTACAGTATACTGAACCTATCGATGTCAACAAATAGCAGTCCAAATGTTTGAAAGCTGGTGTGAAGTGTTTCATTTTGTACTTATATTTGATAGATGAATACTTGCCAGGCATGTTATGCATTTCTTTTTAATGTCAGAGGTCATTGAAAGCTGACAGATCGGGAAACGGGTATCTGACTCGTAACATCCTTATATTTATAAAGGTGAGATCCTTTGTGACTCATAGATACCGTATATGAACTAATCAATGTCAAGCAATATCAGTTTGATTTGATTAAAGCCATTTTCTGCGAAGTGTTTCATTTAGTACTTATATCTGATAGATCAGGATTTGTCAAGACTGTCATGTGTCTTGTTGTAATTTCAGAGGCCTTTGAAAGCTGACAGATCTGGAACAAGGTATCCCAACCGTAACACCCTTGTATTTGGCTGGTGAAATAATTTGTTACTCAAAATGGCATCGCTGGAAGGAGTAAACCAGTCATTGTTCACACAGAACAACACGGAAGATTGGAATCTTATTGAAAACTTTGCTTTCAACCTGGAAACTGTCTATCTGTGGATTATACTTGTCATAGGAGTCCCTGGAAATTGTGCTACTATTGTTACCGTTGTGAAAATGTGCCCAGCCAGATCCCTTACTGTGTATATTACCATCTTGGCAATAGTTGATAACCTGGCCATTGTTGACAAACTTCTGATGTTTGTACTCCTGGATCATGGGGTTCACGTTGGGCAGTTTGGATGTAAAACACTTGGATACTTCGGAAACCTCCTTAGCACCTTTGCTAATTGGTTGTTGGTGGCAATGTCAGTTGAACGATTTGTTGCCGTGTGGTTTCCATTTAAACTTGGACAAAGTTGGACATTTAAAAAATCCCTCATTGCCGTTTTAGTTTTGGCACTGCCCCTCATTGCCTTATTTCTTCATTTGTTCTGGATTATGAGATTCGTTGACGACAAGGAACAAGGAATGGTATATTGCGCTATTCATGAAGAATATATATATTTCATGATGCATGTGTGGTACTGGATAAACGTGCTCATGTACGCAGCTATCCCTTGCACACTGCTGATCTTGTTCAACATTCTAATCATCGTGGGCATTGTTAAATCAAGAAAAGTTCAAAAGCGACTCATTGGTAAGAAGGATGACAACTCCAGCATTGATCGATTACGTCAAGTGACAATAATGTTAGTCGCTGCAGCCATTTCCTTGGTGGTGTTGACAACGCCCCGATGTGTGATGCTAATTTTGACCCCCTATTGGAATCCTCCTGAAAGAACAATGGAGGGCTCTGTCGAATATTTACTCGACACGATTGCATTTGTTTTGTGTGATTTTAATCATGCAATCAATTTTTATGTTTATTCAATGAGTGCAAAACGATTTAGACGTCAGTTTCTTAATTTACTGCCATGCAGAAGGCAGCAAATGACACCGACAGAAACACAATACGTTTCTCTTTCAACACGACAGTCGTTGCGTATGAACAGCCCAAGTAAGAAATGAGAAAAGAAGGTATGAACTGGACTTGGTTTAATATTCCAACATATACTGAAGTTTTTATAAGAAGGCCTCCGGACCAATAGAGTAATTTGCACACATTTTCAACAGTGACATCGTTTCTCTTTTATGGGAGGGGTATTTCCTCTATGTTTATCAACATTAACATATTCACGCAGTTATCATTTCTGTATTCAATTGATGTTGTGCAAAGTGTTGATGTATACTAAGCTGTATTTTGTTGATCATGTGTCGAATACATATGTTATCAAAATGGTATTCTGAAAATAAACACTTCTGGTTACATATTTCCACTAAAGTTATCCTACAATTGTTAAATTACACACTGTACCTCTATACTGTTTACAAATGATTTGAAAGGGCAAAAAGGTTCGATGGCAGTTTTACTTACATTTATATTTGATTTTTTTGCTTCCATGTAACTTCGATAGCCATATATTTCTTCCCGACACTTTGGGATTCAGAATGATTTGAATATAGCTTGCTGCATGACACTCGATCTTGTAAAGTTTGTGTACAGTGACAGGTTCGTTCACAGGATGAACACAACCAAACGTGGAGAGCACTCGACTCGGGTTGACAAGAGTCATTATTTTAACGAAAAGCGAAATACACATGTACACATACGAATTGGCTATTTGGATGTTCAGGAAGCAAGTCACCAAGTTATTCACACCAAAGAATGTGATGATCCATGTCCAATGGGACATTCACGTATTTGGAAATTGGTATTATTTTGGTTCTGAAGAACGTAGTGTTAACCTTTGTTCTATTTAATATATATGATTAAGAGGGGAAAATCTAACAACGGAAGAAATGAATAAGAGAAACATTAGGATCCTACTAATTTATATGTATGTATGTGTGCATGTATGCATACATGCATTCAGGTAGATAGGTACGCACGTACCTACATGTGTACGTATATATGCCACTCTGAATCTTTATGGACAAGACCCGTGAAGGTCCGGGCTAGAATTGATCTTCCGTAACCAATGCATGTCGTAAGAGGCGACTGACGGGATCGTGTGGTCAGACTCGCTGACTTGGTTGACACATGTCATCAGTTCCCCATTGCACAGATAGATGCTCATGGTGTTGATCACTGGATTGTCTGGTCCAGACTAAATTATTTACAGACCGCCGCCATGTAGCTGGAATATTACTGAGTGCGGCGTAAAACTCAACTCACTCACTCACTCAGTTTATAGACAACTCTAAATATATATAAAACATACAAGGCAGTCCCACTGGTCTCTTCTTTTGTTTTGAAATTGAACATAAATGTATGGTTCTCCTTTGTTCTTTGCGCAGCGACTTTATATATATCTATCCAAGTTCATGCAATTTTGCTTCATATGGTGCAGACTGAACAAGCACTGAATATGGCTGGACCAGATAATCCAGTGATCAACAACATGAGCATCGATCTACACAGTTGGGACATATTGAAAGTAAGCTTAAATCATATATCATCCGCAAACAGACACAAACGCTGATATGCTTTTTAAATATATATCGACCGCAATTGAATATGTTTATGTATTTAACCAAAGTAGGGACAACATTGTTTACTGGTATATCATATCATAGTATGTATAAGAATATATACATAGGAAATATTGCTGTTAACTATTCGTATTGTAACACATGCAATAAATGAATAATAAATAAGAATTACAATTACAAATAACTTTCCATATGTTTGTCAGTCACAAAGAAGGGCATATTGGAAATAGATATTGAGTTCAAGACGCTGGTCACTAATGCCTAAAGAGGACACCTCTCCCGGATCATGGTTCATCGGTTATAAGGGAGCGCCAATATAACGTCACACTGTCACAGCTGTTTAGCGACGAGAACAGTTTATAAACATAATAACACAGTATTTGTCACAACAGTTTAAAATAGAAGCTGCATGCCATCAGGAACTAAAGATACTAGGAGCCTAAACACTGGTTTATGGTAATTACATTGATTTCGATGGGAATAATTTGTCTTATAGGGGAACACTGTTTTCATCCTTCTGGGCAGTACCTTCAATTATCCCAAAACCCTATATTATAATTTAAAAACACCCAAAAGCAACTTGTTGTACACTTACATATTTACAATTAGTTACATGCATATTTCTTTAAAGTAGCTAACAGTAAAATGCCCGCTAACACGAGGTAACAGGTCGTTTTGAAATTCTCGATGATGTGAATATCTGGCAGTTGCAAGGTCCACATAATCAAGGATATATGTTTGATGGTGAACTTTCATCATATTTAACTATTATTAAATCACTCCACAATAATCAAGTTATGCACATTTTAAGTTAAGTATTGTGGGCACCAAACTTGAGGTTTTATTTTGATCTATCTGTGCATTCAAACCCGAGACCATAAGATCTGAAACCATTTCCACAGGCTTTGATCAGAGAAATATCAGAATTGGCTTCACTGGACGAGCAGCCTCCAGAGAAAGGTAATTAGTTCACGATGGCACATCCGGAGGATAGATTAAATGGCGCATGACCCCAACACGACCTTAGGGAGTTACAAATGATCCAAACACAATATCCTATGGACAGATTTAACATTACATAGTTTGACATGTTCAATTTGGTGCACTTGTAAGAGCCAGGTTGTGTAACACTTAAAATCAAGTATTGTTATGAGACATGCTCTGTTTTACAAGTGATACCTAGGAATAGATTGTATAAAATTACAAGATACAAACTATTGTTATATATGCTAATAAGATCGAGCGGATCGATCATGTTCAGAGTTTAGAAAACTAAAATGTTTTTAAAAATATACGTGATTAGAATATACGTGATTTTTAGAGCTACCTGTCCATCAACAAATATTCACGAAAGACGTGGAATAAAACAGAAGCCAATTGTGTTCGAACATACACACAGCAAAAGCGTGGATCATATTTCATATATTAAGGATTTACAAATTGACATAGCTTACAGAACCAACCTGACACCATCTGCATAAATAATCTTCTCTGCTCGTACTCATGAAACAGGCAACAAACGCATTGATGTCTAATTATTCGGGCCACTATAGGAAACGTGCCTTTGATTATGTCAAGCAGTCATTTGGTTCCAGATAAAATGAGGAGGTAATGTATAAATACAGCTGTAATTAGTAGCTAATTTAATCAATATTTCATCAAGGTCCCCACACAGACATATAACTCTGAATCTGAGTTGGCCTTTACTTTATTCAATACTACATCATTCCTTTGCTTGGGATAACAAGCGCAGTAGCAACGGTGCCATGTTTTAACGTCGTTTGCAAGGAGGAAGCAAGAAGCGGAAACCACCCACATTCAACTCTATCCATTTCAGTACGCTGGTTGTCGACATGGTTCTAGATGCAATTTAACAAGCCACAAGGTCGGATGAAAGAAATCCAAAATAATTACAATGAAATGCAATTGCTCGTACTTCCTCAACGTTTTCAAAATGTTCAGAAAGAATTAGATATATATCGATGTTTATTCTTCTATACATTGACGCTGGCCAGTGGTTTCATCTTTCATAGTTGTATAGTACTAATGTACTTGATCGATAAATAGTATATACAAAAAAGTTAAAATATCCTTTTAGCATGGTAAAGAATTATCCAGTCACACATTAGTAACCAACTGAAAGGAAGTTATCATACCCTGTTTGTTTGTGTAGCAGAATGTAAATATTGTGTATTTTAAACCTAAGTATATAATTTAGTTAAGCAATATAACAACCCTTTGAATTAACACAGCACTCTACTAATCCCTTGGTTAAGTTATGTAAGCCTGCATTGGGTTCTATTTTACTTCAGACTCCTGGTCCAGCCACGGCTTGGCCAGTGATTGATTTGCTATTGTTTCTAGAGCATGTGACCAGATCTGGAGTTTTATGTACCCCAACATTCTTTTTCCTGGTCACTGCTACAATTTCAACTCTTGACTGCAACAATTCCAGCTCTCTCTCCTTTATCACAGCACTGCACTTATTGGGGTAAGTTACTTTAGATGTCTTGGTATCAATATTATCATAAGGAGGTTAGGATATGATGTTTTAGTCTAGTTAATTTATCATTTTAATCATATGTCTGAAATATATTATGTGCTGTAATATCATCTACATGATGATATGATGTAAATATTCTATATGCTTGATATCATGACACACTGTTATGTATTATAATTAATGTAGACTATAGTGTATACATTGTAGATTAGGTACATATTATGGATGACATGAGAAAGAGAGTGCGTGTGCGTGTGCGTGTGTGTGTGTGTGTGTGCGTGTGTGTGTGTGTGTGTGTGTGTGTGTGTGTGTGTGTGTGTGTGTGTATTTAATTGTGTTATTTTATTATATTAGGTCTTTGAAGTACTCATTTGCCACCGGTTGTTTACCGGTAGACTGTGGATTACCTGCGTCCCTGAGACGAGGTTAGTATTTGTGTGTCAAGGAAATGCATGGGTTATGTTCTAAATGTTATGTTACATATCAGATTTTCATCTGTATGTCTGTAATTTGTAAGATAAGCTTATATTTATACTTAAATTGAGTAACCCTTGTGGTTTACAGAAAATTTTAAATGTAATTAAATGTTTAATGAGTACTTGTTGCTGTATACCAGTAATTTGAGATGTTTATGTTTTATTTCAAGGGTTTTATCACCTGATCCAAGACAATAAATCCCTGAACCCCTTACAAGTATTCGTCTGTTTCAAATCATGACGTGATACCGCTGTTACATTTGTTTGTTTGTTTATTAGGCCACACTCAGCAATATTTCAGCTATATGGCGGCGGTCAGTAAATAATCGAGTCTCTACCAGACAATAAAGTGATCAACAGCATGAGCATCGATCTATGCAATTGGGATACGATAACATGTTTCAACCAAGTCAGCAAACCTGACCACCCGATCCCGTTAGTCGCCTCTTACAAAGAATATCGCACCGTTCAAACATCTATATCGATTCTCCTCTGACAGTTATTTTCTACATATTTGAATGCATATTATGTATGTATTTCTTTTTGGCGGGGCTAGTCCATTGCAAGGATTCTATCAGGCCCCGAACAATAGGACACAAATGACTTCATATGACAGGCACACATATTTTCATTAATACCCCGGAACCCAAGTACGATTTATTTGTATGTCAAAGGAAACGAGAGATCCCTAAACGTTTTATTTTTCCATTAGCTGTACGTGATGAATACCTGACGTCCTTAAATGGCCATGGCAGGAATGATTAATTACAAAAGGCTCATATTTTTCAAGAGTGCTTGCGT